GCAGTCAGCAGTGAAATTTCCATTGATTTAAATAAGAACTGGTTCAAACCTGCAGAGATCTAGCTGCTATTTATGCATTGCACAGTAGCCCCTCCATAGCTAGAGATTTCTGCCCTTTGTTTTTGTAAAAATAATCTACATGCTTTTGTACACACACTCAGTACAATTTCCTTTGTATTAAAAAACAAAAAAAAAAAAAGTCATATTTCCAAAGGTATTGGAAGTTTTAAAACTGAAGAGTAAACACAGTGCAACTGCCATTCAGTTTTATGCTGCCTCTCTTCACTGTAGTCAATGGCATTATTTATGAGTAAAACAACCAAAATGTTGAATATGTAGTTTAGTTACTAGATACTAAGAAGATTACTCAAACAAGTTTGAGTAATTATACATAGAACTATTGTGTTACTGCTGCAAAAGTGAGGGAAATGTTATGAAATATTAAATTCTATCAATAAATGAAATAATGATTTTATTCTGGTTTATTTAGCAAAGAAATGCAACTGAATATTTTTAAAGTATTTCTGTCTAAGGAATAAGACTTTTCAGAGAATTGTCTCACTGATATGTGCAAAGATCAAAAAGGGGTGGTAGTGTTAGCATTCCAAATTATTTAGATGAAACAGTAAGATAATTAGGTGCAAAAAATGCAGAGTCTTATGTTCAATGCAGTAAAGGATCAATTTCATCTAAAGGCAAGTGGAGTGTACACTATATCATCTGATCCAAAGGAGTGACCTTCTTGATTCAAATGCAAAATGCCTATTGCAGATGGAATTTACCAGGACAAAATGTTCAATAGAAAGATTACATTTCCACTGGGGCAGAAAGGTATTTGTCAGTGTCTCATTGCAGCTTTGATACAAACATCTTGGATTTCAATTAGCTTTGAGATAGAACAATAATCCAGCATTGAAAATAAAGACAAACCTTTGCTTCTTACACCATTATATGTGGGGTTTTGTTTCATTTGCAATAAGATATTGTAAGATTTCCAATAGAAATAAATAGAAGTAAATAACATTTCAGCCATTTTAATGTCAGCAGTGTCACTTAGTGATTGTCTGTCTGATAACTTTGCACTAGGAGGTGAGGGTGACATAATTTACATTTTTTCCAGCATAAATGAAAAGTGCTGAATTCTTCGAACCGTAAGTGTCCCATCAGTTCTTCTATCCTCACTGTCCACCTCCTATTATTAACATAGCACATCCACTCTGATGCTTTTGATCCTTTTCTACAAAAAGTAGTTTGCCTTCCCCATGGAAATAAAGATGAAATTTGCTTTAGTGAATATCAGGAGTTCAAACAACAGCCCATAAAAAGTTCCACCCTATCGAGGTCATGTTTTAACTTCACAAATTTAGAGCTTGACTTCACTTAAAATGCTTACTTCTAAATACTGTTTGATATTTAAGAAAACTTGTGTTTTTTTTATTGATCATGGGACTAAGAGAAGGAAGGGCAATTTTGAACCATCAGTTGAATATCTGTGACTGATCTTGAGTTAACTCCTCTAAAACTCTGTATAGTATTTGTCGCCTTTACTTCACACTTGTGTCACAAGGATAATTCTGTCAGCTCCTGAAATGTGGCAGGAAGAAAAGCTGAGAAACAACATAGGTATGATTCAGTTGCTGATTTCCTTGTTAGGAAGAAAGTGTGAACTATTCCCTGCAGATATGATTTTAATAACACTCCAAATTACATATGGTGCCTTACACTCAAAAGGCTTCCTTTCAAATATCAAACCACATAGCTTTAGCAGTAAGGAATATTGCTATTGAAATTAGGATACTTAATTTGACACGTTAAGCAACTAAGACTAAGAGAAAATAAAGATATGTTTGTAACCTGGTAACCAGTGACACAAACTACCCAGAGCAAAACACTTCCTCCTGTGATATCAAGGTAAAAAAGACAAGATTTAAGTCACTTGACCCCACAATTCCAGAGCAAGCTGAAGAAATGTTCCTTTTAAGATGAATTTTTTTTAATGTACTAGCACAAAGCTTTTTTGGCTCAGAGAAAGAAATGCTATAAAATGCTAAATTTATTACTAAACATAAAAATTAAACCCAGAAAATTACAAAATCTCATGGATCTGAATTATTTTACTTCCTCTTGGATTCTTAATTGTTGTCATAAATACATCATAACAGTGATCAGTACCTGTCTGTGGACATACACTATGAATTAAGCATATAGAACCGATGTTTTACATCACTCCTGAATTGCAGCCATCTTTAGTATAACAAATAGTGAAAATTTTCTATAACTATAGTGAAATTAAAAATAATTTTTGTGATTAATAATAGTATTGCTTGAATATCACACACTTTAACTGATTTCAAAACCAATCATAAATACATTTTGCTCCTACAAACATGTCTGTAAATGTGTTGGAGCTTGCTAGCATTAAGAGGCATACACAAAAGTAATAAAAATAATGCTGTTTCTTTCTTGTCCTATTGCTATAAAAAATAAACAGATTAGACCATGCCTTGTCTATTAACAGAACAAAAACTACGGAATTATATGAGTAGATTTATTCCAGAAGACTATATGCGTATATGTATGTGCGTGTGTGAACTTGTATAGACCTAAGCGTCCATGTTTCCCATGACACATGGTTTTGAGAGTCAAGAAATCCAAATTTTTCTTCAATAAATGCTTTTAACCACAGGTATCATCACCATAGGTCTTGACAGATGTCAGTGTTCATCTTTCCATTGAGTCAAATCTTGCCATCTCCTTTCTGCTCAAGTGCTTTGTAAATATGGAGCTTGGCTTCTGCTAGTAATAAATGCATTTTCAACTATCTACTGCCTTGCAACTTACATTAAAAGTAAAGATTTAAGCTAAGAAGTAGGAAATATAGTGAGAAAAATTTTATATGAAAAATTGATGCTTATGTCTTTGCTTCATAGTTTAGCTGCACTCTGAATGCATGTAATTTTTCAGAGCTTCTTCCAATACATTGGCAAGTTTCTTATGAAAGAACCAGAAGAGGAACAAATTCTATTTCCATTTTCAATAAAATGACTCCATGGCTGCAGTCTTTATTGAATAGATCTGACTGATGCTGTGAGTCAGTGACTCAACTAAGCTCCTAACAACGTGAAAATACTAACATTTAACTGTTAGAGCTAACAGTTACAACAGGAAAAGCAGTGCACACGTTCTGTCTCCTTATTTACCCTCTGATCTTTCTGGCTAGTAATGCTAACATAATCCATACAAAAGGAATCAGTTATCATCTTAACAAATATTCAAATGTATTCTCCTCTCTTGACAACTACACAAACCTCCATAAAGGTCAGTGGAAGACAGGTGCCCAAACTGAGGGCAGAATATAGCTTAGCATACAATACACCTGAAAATAGCTCCTCTGGGCTGATCTCCTGGCAGTTCTCATACTCTCTCATAAAACCACTTGAACTAGTGCAGGTTTTGGTGAATTATAGTATCCATTAAGAAGCTCTCATTATCTCCTGTCTTAACCACATAATAAAAAAAAAATTGAGAGTGCTGTATCAGACCATACTGAGGAAGAACTTGGAATTTTTCAACTGGTCTACAGTGCTTGGTAGGGAATCACTCTCAAGTGCTGGACCATTCACTAGTGTATATTTTGTGCTAAAGGTCACCAGACTACAAAAGGGTTCTCATGTCAGAAAGGACCCATCATTGATCATCACCTCATTTTGACACGACAGAAAAGAAATATGTCCATCTAGCAGGAGCAGGAAAGAGGGGAGAACTCTTATAAAATGTATGAAGGTTATTAAATTATCAGAAGCCATCTAAACAACAGAGGGTTTTTCTAAACTTTTTGAGATACAGTATAAACCCTAACTCACATGGAATGCTACAGTGGAGTAAATCACCAACACTGATTCCTGCAGCAATTGAAGTTTTCCTAGCAGCTATCCCAGCAAAGTACCAACCAACGTGTTCGGTTTATTATATCTAACAGGACTGCTACAAAGCCAGACTGCAAACGAAGCCTTTTTCCAGTGTTTGTCAATACACTCACCAGGCATAACTATTTGTAGATCCAGTCATTGCAAATAAATTATTCAAATTCTGTAATAGCAGTAAAATTAACCTGCTCTGGAGTTATTGCCTCCAAAATCTTTGTTTCATAGGGTGTTGTGAACACACGGTCCACTTGAGCCACAACAATCTTCCCTATAACTCTGCTTTGGTAAGCACAGTTCTGGCAGATCAGCAGGCTGGGGGACCCTGCACTTCACTGAGACACAAGTCAGTTGCATTAGCCAGGCGGTCACAGGACTTTGATACAGCTTTCCACTGGACTTATTTATTTAGGAAGAGTGGGAAACAGCAAAGTCACTTGCTACAGTCCGGAGCTGTATCAAAAGGAGCTGTGTAAGCTCACTCCTGCACGATGACATGGGAACCGCCATGTCGCCAGGGCAGCCCAACACCGGCTGCACGCAGATCACCGTCTGCGGTGGCCATTTTGTCACGGGCCTGATGCTCACAGCGAATCAGGCATTTATGCTCCTTATCCCCAGGTCACTGCAGGGGTTATGGCTACCGGCTGCTCCGCGGTTAAAACCACTCAGTTCCATCAGCATCCCCACAGACACGACTGGTTTTCACGCTCGGCTGCGGGAGGGGCCTAACGCGGATCGCCCCTCACTGTCGGGAAGCCGAAGCAGAAGCGAAGGCGCTGTCCCGCACAGGGATCCGCTCGGCCCGTCTGCCCTGCCGGGGCCGCTGCCGGGGCGCCCGTGAGGGGAGCCCGCCGCACATCAGCGACCCGGGGCACGGCGCGCATGCGCGCACGCACGCCGCGGCAGGCGGTGGCGCTCGCTCCCCGCGCCCTGCGGGCTCCAAGCGCGGCCTGCTGGCGCGTACCCATTCCAGAAGACTACGGCTCCCATCATGCAACGCGCAGCACCGCCGCGCCCACGCCTGGGGAGCGTCGGCGACGAGGCCCATCTAGCGGTGCGCGCTGCATGCTGGGTGTCGTTGTTCTCAAAGCAGCTTCGCCAGCCAGCGTCCAGCGGGAGGGGTGTGGCCCTGGGCGTCGGAAGCCGCCTCGTTGCCGCGTCTTTTCGCGCTCGTTCTCCGTGTTAATTCCTTTCCGACTGCCAGCCCTGACGGTGCGGATGAGTGGGGCATTGGGTGTTTACTGCACAGATCTGAGTGTACTTCTGCAGTTCCCGTAGATTTCCGCGCATTCCGCAACTCCTTCAGAGCTGGTTTGACCCTCGGCGTCTGCCGTCGGCAGCCGCCTGCCAGCTGTCGCGCCTTTGTGCGGCGGCGGAAGGGGCGCGGGCCGAGGGCGGGGAGCCGGGGACCGAGCCGCGGACAGGAGCGCGGGGACCGAGCCGCGGACAGGTGCGCGGGGACCGAGCCGCGGACAGGAGCGCGGGGACCGAGCCGCGGACAGGAGCGCGGGGACCGAGCCGCGGACAGGAGCGCGGGGACCGAGCCGCGGACAGGAGCGCGGGGACCGAGCCGCGGACAGGTGCGCGGGGACCGAGCCGCGGACAGGAGCGCGGGGACCGAGCGGCGGACAGGAGCGCGGGGACCGAGCCGCGCCCAGCGCTGCTGCCGGGCCGCCCGGTGGGAACGAGCTGCGAGGGCTGCGGCAGCCGGGCGGGGCAGGGCGGGGGCCGGGGCCGGCTGAGGGGGAGCGGCGGAGCGCTGCCCGCTCCGGGCGCGGTGCGGCCGGGCCGCGCTGCCGGGCGCTCTGCCCGGACGGCTGCTGTGGGATTCGGGTGGGACTTTGGTTCTGGCGGCACTAAGTTCGTAGCGCGGTCATCTCTAGAAGGGATGGGTGGCCTCCCCTGCCCTCGGGTTCGCGCGGTTTGTGCTGTTTCGCCTCCCCGGGCCGGCGCTGGATGGGCGGCTGTCCGTGGTGTGACAACGCGTGTTCCTGGTGCTGCTTTAAAGGGACACGGAAATGCCGTTTGAAAATGCTGACTTTAGGTTATTTAGTTATTAGCATTTTAGTGCTAACAGACGAAATGAAGGCATACACACATTGACTCCTGTATACGTATTATTAAGATGTGGGGTTAGACGTATGAGGCTTGCAACATTTTGCATCCCAACGCATAGTCACATTACTAATGCTTAATCTTGTATCCTTATTGTCAAACGTACTGTAAAGGCATTTATAGTTGTCTCATTTGTTGTAGGACCACCTGTCCATTTTCTTTGCTGGCTTGACTTTGCTTAAAAACAGTAAAATTAAGTTCGTCTTCACCTAGCCCTTTCACTCAGTTTTTCTTACCTGTGTTCTAAATATTTGTGAAATTCTAAACTTACAGAGTTTCCACCTTTTGTTGTTGACTGTCATGTTTGTATTTGAGTTAGTGACATAGCAAAACTTTTTGTAGCATTTTTGTCTTTAAATTATCCACCAGTTTATTAGCAGTGTAACAGTTTTGAAAAAAAAATTAAAATGCATGTGTTTTGCAGTTTTCTTTGACTTGTACTTATGTTGCCTTATCTTTTATAGTAATCATACTAAATGTTTTAATAAATCTTTACTTTGAATCATATAATGGTCTGTAGAAGGATGTGTAGCTTACATACTGTTAAGTTATAGCATGCCAGTATTTAGCTGTTGAAGTGTAAAATGAAAGGGAAATATTGTCTTGCTGAATTTCTTGCTGTTTTCAGTCTTGCAGGTGGTTTTGTAGCTGCAAAAATCTTATGGCGAGATTCAGTGCCTAAAGTTTTTTTCAAAGTAGCTCCTTCAAAGAGTATCAGGCCTACCTTAGAAATGGATGCTGTCATCATATCATGGATCTGTTTGTTTTAAATAAATCACTTTAGTGTTGAGAATGTGTTAAGTGAAAGAAGAACAGAAATAGGAATGTGGGTTTTTTCAATTATTGTTGACTCAGGCTTCTGATGAGCTGGTTTTGGTAAGCTGGGGTAATTTCTTTGCAGATAGCTTCTGGAAGGAAAAGCTGCTATGTAAAAAAAAGTATGAAAAAAAAAGAAAAACAAACAAAAAATAATAAAAAAACAAACAAACAAAACAAAAGCCAAACAGTGACATGATTTCTGTTCATCAGTGTTTCAGCCATGTCTGACAAAAGTGAGCTGAAGGCGGAGTTGGAGCGCAAGAAGCAACGATTAGCTCAAATCAGAGAGGAGAAGAAAAGAAAGGAGGAAGAAAGAAAGAAGAAAGAAGTAAGACATAATTTTCACATTGATTTGCATATGTAACTTGCCCAAAATTTAAGAGTAGCTTCACATAATGTATCAGTTATTTTCTGTGTCCTGTTCAGGGAGTGTCAGTTTAATTGGTGCTAATGTAAATGTAGCACTTCCATTTTATAATAATATAAACACCTACTGTTTTCTTTTCAACTGTCTGTATGATAAGCTGGGTTTAAAAAAATACTAAAAATTATTATCTTACACTAGCATAAAGTTCAGATTTCTAGAACTGTCTCTGTGCATGTGACATCATTAATCAAATCACTCTGATTTATTGCATAAAAGCTCTGCTCAGTGAGTTGTGATAGGTGTTATCAAAAGACTTCATTTCTGAAGTATGGTTCTGAGAATGTCTGTAGGAATTATATGACTGTCAGTATTATCATTGTACAAACAATGTGCTATGTTCTTCTGCTCTTTGACCTATCTATAGGCTGAACTTTAAAATCTGAGCAACACTCAGGATGTGTATGGTGTTTGTATGTTACATTGGGTTTGTTTAAAGTCTTCTGGATTTCTCGCTGCTCAAGTATGTGACAATCAGTGATAGATTACTGTTTCTCCTGAAGGCAAATTGTATCTCCTAGAAGAAACTTTTACTGGCATGTTTTGTGTACTTTTCATTACTTCTCTGTGTTTTGGTTATGTTCTAGTTGGTGTGCTAAATCAGCATATGACTGAAGACTGGGCAGCTGCCAACTACGTGATTCAGACAAAGAGGAGAAAGAAATAGCTCAAATTATGTCCTAATGACCTTGTAGCAGTGTATGCCAGAATTGCTTTTTTAAAAAGCAGCTAAGAGTAAAAAGATGCAGAGTGTTCAGCATCTTTTGCAATAGAACTTGCACTATTTCTAAATGAAATAGGGTGGGGGTGCATTTTTTTTATATCTAGCAGATAACACAAATAAAACTACTTTTCTTTGACACAGTTTTTGTAATTTCAATACAGGAACCACATGACTATCTCTAAAATACTTTTACACCCAGGTACAGAATGTTTTTGTCATTATTTGCATTTTACAGTGCTTAGGATTAGTGTAAAAAAAGGCACTCTTAATCTTATGAAGTTAGTAATTTTGGCAAATACACAGACACTTTTTGCATGTCTATATATGTCCTTTAAAGACAATACCAAAGCTTTGGAACATTGTTATTCCTGTCTGTTTACTTTATCTATAAAAAAGAACCATCAGAATTACTGAAATTTAATATCTAATATACTTGATGGGTTTCAGTATTACAAAAACCCTGTGGGGTCTCAAAATAAATGAAAGGTAAAAGGCTGTAACTAATTATTAAATAATTTTTAGACTGACCAGAAGAAGGAAGTTCTTCCAGTACAAGAAGAATCTGATCTTGAAAAGAAGAGAAGAGAAGCGGAAGCATTGCTTCAGAGCATGGGGTTGACACCTGAGTCTCCTGTTGGTAGGAATGTTACTATTTGTTTGAAATAAATGTTTGTGAGATTTTTGTTTAGTCTTTTTTTCTTTTGGGTGAAGTGTTTTTTGGGGTTTTGTGTTGGGTTTTGTTGTTCTGTTTTTGGGGGGTTTTTTTGGGGGTTTTTTTTGTTGTTTTTTTTGTTGTTTTTGTTTTTTTCTTTTTTGTGGTGGTTGTTTTTTTTTTGTTAGGATTGAGGTTTTTATATAACTAACAAAGTAATAATCTGGCCACTTCTTCAGAGGTTGTACATGTCTGGGTTTTACACTCTTTTGTCCTTCATGATCTCTTATAAATGTCAAATTATGTGCTTCAGTACACATTACATAACATTATTTTATAACACCATTTAGACTTAGCGGATTATTTGAAATATATTAGTTAAAATATCATGTATGAATTTTGTGTTCTCCTTCTATTTTTCATATTCATTATTCTCCTGTATTTTTTTTCCTTACTCTTTTCCACAATGCCAAATTTTAATGCTTATATTTTTGTATGGAGTTGGCTTCTTTCTTTTTTTGCACCCTAGTTTTTCTTATCTCAAATACCTGACTGACTTTGATGGAGCAATAGCAGCACTAAGTATAAAAATTAGCGTCCAAGGGTAATGATTGGTGTCTATGCAACTCTTGGATGTGTTAGCATATTGGCTCTTGCTTTTTGCCTTTACTTAGGCACATCCCTATGGAAGATGAAAGCAAGGAATATGATAATGCAACTCTGCTTTTTGTCTCCAACTCTGAAATCCAGGGGCTTTAAAGCTTATCAGTTTGTCTTCTTGGGGCTCTATTCAACTGGGTTTGTAAATAAAATAGTAATAATTTCTTACAGATATAGCTGGGATTATATTTTCTTAATTGCTTATGTGTAATCCTCAAGTGTTCAAAAGTGAACAGTGTTACAGCTGCTCAGATTCCAACAGCCCCAGCAGTTATTTTTGGTAATTCAAATTGTTTTAATAGTTGAGAAACTCCATTTGGCTGTGTTAGCACCAGTGTGCAGCTGTTTAAGAAATCATTTTTGACTGGTACAGATTTTCTTTGCTAGACTAACAGTTGAACATTTCCATTGCATGATACTGTGCTAAGGCAGTTGATGAAATTTTTCTAGGAATGTATGTGGTTATTATTTTTTTCACATCTGGCAGAGAATCTGACAGCCACAGAATAGCCAGTCCTCAAAGCAAGTTAATTTGTATGCTTAGAGTAAGTGTTCATGAAAAACTCAGAGGTGCTAACATGCAAGAGTGAGGCAACACCCTGCATGTTGTATTTAATTCCACTGAGCTGCCACTTAATCACACCCTTCAGTGTACACAGGGAATTCATTCTGTCTCCTTTCGAGATGACCAGGTCTGATATGGGTCCTTAATCAAGTTAAAATGTCCTACTTGCTGCCTGCAGTTGGCATGCCTAAGGCTCAAGCTCCTTCTCTGCTGTCGGGGTGCCAGCACCTACAGTGATTGTGTGCCTGAAGTGATGCTGACTCGTGGCTGAGCTGATGGATGTGCAGCTGAGGTAGCTTGTGCTCACACTGTCAGTGAAGGGGGGTTGCTTGACATTGGATTCTTTCCTAGAAAATTGTGTTAATCCCTAAGGCAATTTCTGTGCTGTTAACTGCTAGAGAGAGAGAGCTCTGTTACGGGATATCAGTGTTGTATGTTTTGATAGCTACCATATTTACTACATAAGAAACCTTAAGTTAGCGAACTGGAATTATTTTCAGAAAGATTTTATAGTTTAATCCTCTGGGGTAGGTGCAATTCCATCAGGTCTTTTCACAAGACTGTTGGTCTTCCAGCGGGACTCGCCTCAGTTTTGGGCAGGGTTTCCCGGGAATCGCGTTCCCCACAAGGGAGCGCTGCAGTACCAGCGCTGCGCCCTGCGAGCGCGCTGGGGCCGCGACCGCACCGCGTCCTGAAAATGCTCCGCTGGCAAAGCACAGACCTGCCGCAGCTCCTCTGCTGTGGATTAACCAGTACCTGGCGAGGATGAGTTGAAGAAATATATATATTCTTACATGCCCCCAGTTATATAAGTATAAAGTCTAAATGTCTGTATGTATGACTTTATTAAATACAACTCAAGAAAACAAGTCTCTCCCCTAGGAGGAATTTTAATAAATTGAAGAATTCCCTGTTACTTTGGTAAAATTAAGGGAGAATTTTTGTCCATCAGAACCATGTCTCTGTTTTGAAATGAGGTAGAAAATTCTTTAGAATTCATAATATGCTTGTGATTAATAAAAATTCAGTAGAAATCTCACAGACCTAAATTCAGAGTTCTCCCATGCTTAACTGCTGACAGAGTAGGCAGCAGTTTAAATCATTTGTGTTCAGTTGATTAAAGGGTTTTTTAAGGGTTGCTAAGCAGTGAATGCTTTACATATTGCTGAAAAACAAAGCATATAAGGACCTTCAAAACACCCCTTGATTCGTGTTTAAACCCAAAGTTTCATTAAAAAATTACCATTTCTAAGAAGAAACGTTGAAAGAAATACCAAAGTAGCTTTGTATTTGTATCAGATTGCATGATATCATTCACTGTATATCACTTCCAGAAAGCATGTTACTTTTCAAATGCTAAGTGTAGTCTTCATCTAGTAGCAGGAAAAGAACTGACACTTAAGAAGTTTAAATACAGTGGTATTGTCAAGTAAAAACAAAAAGTTATTTTCAAGACCTAATACTAGAAACTTTGTAATACACAAGATTTATGTTGATTTGATTCAAACTAGAACAAAAATAACAGGATGCTGTATGATGCAGCCACTTTTTTGTTCCACAGTTTGGTGATTATATATTTTGAAATAACATTGCCAGTCTAATCATTCATTGTCTAATCTTTAAGAAAGACTAATATTAGAGCTGTATTAACAACTATCTTTTCTATGTTTAAGTAACATGAGTCAGTGGAAATTACCCTTTGAAAATCAGTGTCATCATGTGCCAAAAGTTCAGTTTAAAAATATTTTTTTCAATTCATTTTCTCTTAAATGTCTTCCCCTCCATGTCTTTTTGTATGCTCCAGATGCATAAATGCCAAACAATTGCATGAAAATCCAGCATGAATTGTTAACATTGTCTTTTCCCCTCTCTTTCTACTGTTCATTTTCATCCATGTATTTTTTGTTTGCCATCACTTTTTTTTTTAATACTTCATTTTTAATTAATTTGCAAACATCCTAAGCTGTGCAACCTCTGCGAGTAGTAACAGCGGATACCTGTCTGTTTCACTATTTAGTCCCTCCTCCTACCTCTCCGTCTTCCAAATCCGTGAGTACGCCAAGCGAGGCTGGGAGCCAGGATTCCGGGGATGGTGCTGTTGGATCGAGGTATGTCACTTTCCTTGTTGTGTTCCTTTGCTCAATACTTGTGTTCTGAATAATTAAGCTGTAGAAGAAATCAAGGTTAATTATTTGATTATAATAATATGAGGTTATGGTGTTGAATCTGTCAAAAGTGACTGTTTTACAGAAATACTTTACTTTAGAATTTGAAATGCAACTATACTTCGTGATTTGAAGTTGCCAGTATTAATGTGGAGTTGTTTAAACTTGCAAATTTGAAGTAAAATGAGTGTCTTGGGACAATAGCAAACTCAAAAAGTCTTAACTTCTGCGCTCTTCCCAGCTTTTTCTAAAGGAGGATGGTATGGATGATAGGCTATTTGCTTTTTCCCATACCTAGTTGATCTAATAAAAGGTACTGTCTACAGACTTTGCGTTACTTCTGATTTTATTTTTCCCTTACTCAGAACCATATTTCTTATTATTTTACTTCATCTGTGTAGCACAACTATAGCACTTGCAATCTTTTATTTTGTCAAAACATAACTCCATCTTAGTACAGCCACTGTTGTTTTGGTCTTTTTTCAGTGACAGTACTTGTCACATTTGTTTGACCTTTTCTTTGAATGTGATGGTTTGAGACCTGCTGCTCTAAAGAACAGTCAGATAAATATTTCTGTTAAATATTTCCAGTGGTGATATATGGGTGGTAAGGCAGAAAAACACCGCTTCCAAAGGGTATTTCTACTGTTGCCCATGCACAGTCTGCAAATAAGTGCAATAGCTGCCTATTAATATTGGTAAGACATTCTCAGCAAGTGAAGTTTTTGTACTTTAAATTTAGTTAGTATACATTGTGAATGAAGTTTAGTTAAAGAACAGTAACTGCAGCAGTTATCAGTTAGTGTTGTTGTATGAGTAGTTGTTTTGGAGAAGGAGTCAAAGGTTAGACTGCTTTGAAATATCTTATAAAAAGACTGCAGTAACATCTTGTATGCATATAGATTATGCATGAATAACCATAATGCATCTTAATCGGAAAATATTCAAGAGACTAATGACTTGAACAAAAGTTACGTGGTGCCCATCTCTAAGTAGAAATAGTTAAGTTAAAATGGAGAATACATCAGACAGCAGATGTGAACCCAGACATTTTGTTAAAGAGTGCTCAGGTATGATCTTGTTTGCCTGTAGTGTTAATTAACCAATATAATTGTTCCTTAATTGAGTGGCAAGCAAATTTTAAGTATTTTAAATTGTTGTTTATTGCTTATTAAATTTTTTTTAAAAATATATTTATATATGTATTTATGTTCACTAGAAGAAAAAAACCAATAAATATTTGATGATGACTTTTTAAAAGAAAATATTTTCTTTCCATTCACACCTAATTTAAATTCAGTATGAACCTGTATGCGTAGACCACATACCTGGAATGGAATGCCACGTTGTGTACTGCATTTATTTCCACCTCATCCATGCACTTGCACTATGTGTGTTCTCAAACATAGTAATGCAATGTTGTATGCATGCACTTTCTTATGAAGCCTTGAGAAAACCTATATCCTGAGTCTCAAAAGCTTCATGCATTTTCAGACTTTAAAACTACATCTGTCTCAGGATTGTGATCTTTAAGGCATGGAGGTATGAATATACAACTAAATTGAAGGCATTATGGAGTCCCTGTTGGAGTCCCCTTGCTTTTTCTCCCACCAGTGGATTCTTCCCTTCCCCCAGTAAATGGGTGTCTACATCCTGGTTTATTAGTACAAGTTCATACATTTGGAACATGAAAGTTGAAGTGTATGATACCCTTTGGTGTTACACGTGGCATTTCATAGGTGACTCTTACCAATATAATAAGATATATTATGAAGCCCCCTTGGTGATGCTGAATCTTGTCAGTAACTTTCAGTAAGTAGTAGAGCAGTGTTCAGACTGTGCTCCTGCTGTTACTTCCATCTGACTTGCTTTATTTTCATTAGTAAAGAGTTTTGTTTCCTAGTTTGATCCTGGTTCTTTCTCTTTTTTTTCCTCAGTCATGAGTGCAAGTCCTGCACTTAAAAAGAAAACAGCTGATTTACTTTTAAGCTGGTGGCTGCTTCATAGAATTAGTTTAAAAACAGGAATATTTTTAGACATATAGGAATTGTTAGGAAAGTGCCTGAATACAGAGAAATCTGGACGTATATGGAAGAATGGGAGATTTGTTCACTGAAGCTTGCAGATAGATTCATTTGACTGAAAGCAAAACAAACTGGAAAACAAAACCACTATTTTGCATCATTTTGGTACATACGTAGTAGGTGAATTTTATCTTGGAATGTTACCTTTATTTTAAAAGAATATCTCTGAGAAATATTTAACTTTATCTCCTGTACTACTTGCTAGCTTCAACTATTTTAAAGGACTGTCCCTGGTCCCACTGAAGCAGCTTTTGGAAATTAAAATAATGCTTTGAAAGCAGGAAAGCTACCTCATTAAGGGCTTGATCTTAAACAGATGCAGAAGTTGGAGCATTTTATGTTTATAGCCTTTTCCCCAAATTTCTCTGAAACACTATTGAAAAAATTGAGAAAATATTTGACTGTGGTGATGCAGCATCTGTATCTGAAGCTAAGGTATTCTTTGCAACATGAAGGTTGGAATGGTGGCTTGGTTTATGGTTGAACAACATAAGCAATACCCAGCTTCAAGTCTCAGGGACCAAATTAAACCCTTAAGCTTAAATCTCTTTGGTCAAGAAAGATAGCAGAGATCTAACGAATAAGCATGCTCAAAGTAATTAACTTTAGGCTAAAATGATGTGTTCTCTAATGCACAAAAGATATGAAAAGGTTTTGGAGATTTGGGTGTTAAGCTATTGCTGTGGATGCTGTTGACTGGCTATATATGAAGATGGTGGATTTGTAATTTCTAATTAAATTATAATTTATAGTCCTAATGCACACTTTCCACTAGAACAAGGTAGTCCATGGCACACCCATATTTATGAGCTTTTATGGCATTGCATATCTATTTTTCAGATCAACTTGAACTTTAGGAATTCTGGACCTAGTTAATAGAAAATTACCATATATGGGATGAAAACATAAAATTGTCTTTTATTGACTTATCACAGTAAAATATTGCATATTCTTTATTTTTTTATTCAGAAGCATTATTTTTAAAAATGCAGATAACATATGAGAATAGCAGATTAACCTGCATGTTTTTTTTCTGACAATCTCTTACAATTGTGTTTCTAAAATTCTGCCTAAGCCTGGTAGCAGGTAGACTACATGAAAATTTCTGAAGGAGGGATGAAGGCTAGAAATTAAGGTAGAGGGAATATTGATTTCCCCCTTGCTATTTCTTCTAGTACAACTTGAAATTGATCCATTCTGTTTGTTGTTCCACATGACTTTGAAACATATTATTAATATAAAGCCCACAACTTATAAGAGATTTTAAGTGTCTTAGAAGGAGTTGGCTCTAACTTAGATGACACTTACAAGCCCAAGGCAGTGCTTAACCCATAATTACTGCAATGTCACATCTTGGAAACTCTAGCAGTTCTTTATCCCAGTGGAAATGCTTTTTTTGCCCCACTACCAAAAGGCTTATGTGTTGATTCATTTCCTTTACCAATATGACAGTTTCCTCCACATATTTACTGCTCTGGGCAAGTTTACGTTATGGTAACAAATCTGTCTTCATATTACTTGAACAAATCTGAACATATTTTAAAAGGAATTTCAAGTTTTTAGTGGTTCTTATCAGTATTTAAAATACTTTTATTTGCCTTTTGTTAAGGCAACTTTTGTTTGTGGACCTTTAATTTTCAATCTTTAAAATAATTTAATTCTTTGCTAATAGCTCTGAGTTCTGTTTGCTTCTTAACTTTTGTATTTGCTCCATGTGTTATTACACTGAATGTTTGCTGAATTTCCCTTAACTGATGTTGCATTGCCTTGTTTCTTGTGAACAATGAAATAACTATAAGCTTGCTGTAACTCTAGAATTTCATAGTGTATATTTGCTTCACTAATCTCTGGCCTTTTTTGCTAATGCTGCATGATTGTTCAACCTGGGGTACCAGGACGCTGCATTGGGATACTGATCCATCAGTTCTTCAGCTCCACTCTGATTCCGATCTGGGGTATTGCATAGATTTCTTATATTCCCTCTTTCATGTGCTTATGGATAATTAGTATGAGCGTTTTTTCCTTTAAGACTTGTAGTTGTTGTTAAGAAACTGTTTTGTAAATAATAGAAATTCTCTGTCCCAACACTTAGTATGGTTTGCTTATAATGGGAAATTTTTAGATAATTTAATATACATTAGATGCTGTTTTCTAATAAACACAAGTTTTGTTTTCTTTGAGTCTCTCTTTGACAGAATATGAACTTTAAGAAGTCATTTATTTAAAATAAAAAGGTTAGCGTGACTGTGTTTAAAAACAGAGCAACTCCCATATTTTCTTACAAATATGTTTACGAAAGCTGTAGCTCATTATAAGCACTATCTAAAACCTGTATTGTGTGCTAAGAATTATGATTCTGCACACTAAAACCTTACAAAAGGAGTTACTCTTCTGCTTTTATCTTGGGAGAGGAGTGGATAATAAGAAACTAAATCTGATATAGGTAAATTGTTGGATCATTTTAGTATTATTACAGTACATACTGCAGTTGGGTTTTACAGAAGGCTACAATGCCTGATTTAATATTGTGCAGGTTTTGGAATATATTATGTGCTATATCTACCTTCGTTAAAGTCAGAAATCTTAGAGGTTTTCAGTATTGTGCTCTGAAATAATGTATTATGGATAAATAATTTGTCAGTGTGAGTTCCAGGTCAGCCTGGCAGTTCTGCATTCTAGATAGTATCTTAGAGGTGGACAAAAAAGGGCAGCAAAATTAAAAGACTAGGAAATACTTTTTCCTTCTGTATAACTAAGTTGGTTTTCAAGCTTTATAATCCTAGAACTCTTGCTGTACAAGCATTACTTGTGAGTAGATCTGTACCCCTGATAATACAGATGTATCATATATGTGGCAGTATTCTGGTCAAGCATAAAGAGCAAAAATTTTAAATTATATCCTAATGTTCAGATATTTATATGTGCACATCTTCCTTTTTGTCACACTTCCTTTTTATTGATGTATAAATAGTTGCTGATTTTAAATAATGATAAAATAGTAGTCATAATCGTGTGACTTGTTCAAAGTTTCCATTGGATTTAAGTTGGATTAAGCAATGCTGTGACATAATGACTTGGGTGTTATTCTAAGCAAAATGTGAAATAATAAAATTAAATTATTTGTCCTTATTTCTAAAATAATTTTATTTAGACGTGGACCTGTTAAACTTGGAATGGCCAAAATTACACAAGTTGACTTTCCTCCACGAGAAATTGTTACCTACACAAAGGAGACGCAAACACCTGTCATGACTCAGCCCAAGGAAGGTGAATGGTTAATTTATTACTATTATTTTTGGTTTCTTTTAATATAATAATGATGACTGGCTGAATTAGAACTAGCACTTGTGATCTAGAAACATAATAAGTTGATATGTGAGATAATTTATATGAATTCTATGACTAAATTTTTGTAGGTTTTGCTTAACTGTTACTGTCATTCTGCATGTTTTTTAACATCACTCTTGCTACTAATATGTGGTACTTTCACACTCCTCGTATATATTCAGATTAAACACAGTTGCTTAATTAGCTGACATCAGATAAATAAATGGGATATATTTTGCATTTATGATGTTTAAGAATCCACACATAACTTGGCACATGGAGGACAGGGAGGTGATTTGAGGCAGCTGGCATGGCTTTAACAAGGGCAACTCCTGCCTGACCAACCTAGTGGCCTTCAACAATGGAGTGACTACATCAGTAGACAAGGGAAGTGTATAACATCTGTTAGGAATTCTCTAAGGCCTTTGACATGATCCCCCCCAGCATCCTTCTCTCTAGATTGGACAGAGATGGATTTGACCTGTGGACTGTTAGGATAAGGAATTGGTTGAATGGCTGCTTCCAGCGGTCAACAGCTCAAAGTCCTGGTGTACATCAGTGACAAGTGGGGTCCCTGAGGGGTCCATACTGGACCAGTGTTATTTATTGTTTTCATCACTGACATACAGAGGGATTGAGTGCACCTCAGCACACCTGCAGGTGACACCAAGCTGGGTGGGTAGTTAACATGCCTGAAGGATGGGATGGCACCCAGAGGGACCTGGACAAGCTCAAGAAGTGACCCAAAAGAAAGCCAAACATATCCTGGGCTGCATCCTCAGCAGCATGGCCAGCAGGTCAAGGGAGGTGATCCTGCCCCTCTCCTCTGCTCCTGGAGTGCTGCATCCAGCTCTGGAGAGGGACTTTGCCCAAGGGCATGTTGTGACTGGACAAGGGGCAATGGCTTTAAACTGGAAGATATTAGAGTAGATATCAGTAGGAAATTCTTTGCTTTGTGGGTGTGAGGCATTGGAACGGGTTGCCCAGAAAAGCTGTGGTTGCCCCATCCTTGCATGTATTCAAGGCCAGGGTATATGGGGCTTTGAGCAGTCTGATCTAGTGGAAGGTATCCTTGCCCATGGGATGGGAGTTGGACCTAGATCATCTTTAAAGATCATCCAACCCCTAACCTTCTATGAATTTACTTGAAGGCTGTGTATCCTACAATGAACTTGGGACTTAACCCCCCTACTCTTAATAATTTAAATTTTATTACCTGAAGCTTGTACTTTGAGTTTTAAAAGAAGGAACGAATCTATTTATAGCTTACGCAGTTTCTGTTTTCAGCTATTGAACACCGGCTTTCTTTCATTACTTGTTTGCTTTTCAAAAAAAAAAAAAATCTGAAGAAAATATGGTTGGCTAGCAGATTTGCTTTTCAATGCTGAAACACTTGAATTTATCTGCAAATGAAAGTATTAGTCTTGACGTAGCTTGTGTGTAGTTTTACAGCAAAATATCTTGGTTGTTTAACTGTGTTTCTTTTCTATTTTTCATTTTATCTGTATCCCTGCACAGGTAGGTGTTTGGGGTTTTCCTGCTTTCATTTTTCCCATGCCCTCAACATTTCCTTTCTCTAATCCCTCTGGTCTTTTTTCCTCCCCTCTGTCAGTTTCATGGAATCTGAAGACTTAGGTCAGTTTAGGTACTTGAAGAGTTCTGCTGCCTGCTGACTGTGGAAATGGCTTGGGACTGTATGATCTGAGTTTCACAGCAGATAGGCTGTAGTTGAGGTTTGCTGTAGTGGAGTGGAGCAGTGGTCATGTCTATTTCTGCATTTATCAGAAAGCAGACTCAATGCATGTATTGTCTCCTGATCCATTCTACCTTACAAACACTGATTTCTTGAGGGCCATAATAATTTTTAAAAATATATTTCACGTGTTTTACAAAATTTACAGGTATCTTTTCATCTTTTCAGTGTTGAAGATCTTTTTAAGATTTATCCTAAGACCACCTGAATACATTAATAACAAAGCTCTTATGTTCCCATTTTACAATGCTATCTGAAATAGGACATAGGTTTGAAAAACAAAAGAATAAATTATGCTGCATACTGTAAAGGAGTCACTAGCTAAGAAATTTTTCATGGTAAAAGAAAATTTTAAACTCTTTAAATTGACAAAAGCAATATGCTGACTTTACAGGGTACAATTAGATAAATTTAAATTCTGTAAACTATCTTACTGATCCTTACTTCTTCTCACTGTCTGAGTTGTGCTTATCCGGGTGCATACACTGTAAACAAAAATAACCTGATGAAGTACACTTGAAAGTAGAGCTTGCAACCAAACTTAGACCTGCAGTAGCTCCCTTATCCAGCAGAAAGTTCCATCAGAGCTAGGTTAGCTCAGTGTTCACAGCTTCTTATAAAGTGAAGTGAACTGGACCCTTCATAACATATTTTGAGATTTTAAAGCGCTGTTGGAGCTTTGCTTTAGAAAAAGGGGAAAAAAAATCCAGTTTTTTATTAGATATGCACTGCTTGTTTAGGTCCACTTGTGCAAACACCTGATTTGGTGGGGGAGGACAGTGTATAAAATAAAACCAACAAACCCACAGCAAAACACCAAACGACATAGTTCTCTTTGTTCCAGTTCTGTGTGCTACAAGTGGTTATGTAGTTACATTGTAAGCTAAATTAAGAAACATTCAAACTACTGCCAGTCTGCCTGGCTGTAGGAATTAGAAGTAGACTAGTTTTAGATTAAAACCATTCATAGTTGTTTTGAAAATATTTGTGGCAACACATACCAAGTGAGTTAAATAGGAGAGACTTCATGTCCTCAAATAAAACTAGGCATTTGGAAATGCCTGGTTTGGATTCACATAACAGTTCAATTAATTTTGAAATGTAGCAGCTTCCTTAGGGAGATGAAGGCATTTAATGTTCTAACAATTCTCACAACTTACATTATTTTACTAATGTGTTGATTTATTATGACCTCAAAGTATTTGAGAAACTGCCGTAGGAAAATTGATTCTTATATATTATAAAGCAATAAAATCAGGATCTCTTCTAGAAATCAGTTAATCCAAAGAAAGATGGGTGTATAGGGAAATATGATTTTGTTCAGCTGTCACAAGGCTTTCCAGGACTAACTGGGTACTTACTGCTTAGTGCTGCTGTACAATACTGTGCATGTGCAATCACAGCTGGCTGCAGACAGTATCATTGCATTAACTCCACTCTTTGAGGAATAATTGTCTGCTAACATCTCCAGGACACAGAATTAAAATGTTAAGCAGAGTAATAAAAATACGATGTATAGGATTTCCTTCTTGGATGATGGTAAAGTGAATGCAGGATTCATACATTTTAATATTTTTCAAATAAATAATGGACCATTGTATATTCATGTATGATCCTTATGGGTCCCTTCCAACTCAGAATATTCTGTGATTCTATATTATCTATATTATCTAGTACATGGCTTAAATATACAGAAATACAGATAGGAGAACTTGATGTGAAGACATTCGACTTAACAAAAGCCACCCATTTCACAGGTGATTTAACTTTGATTAACCTACTCTGCAGCAACAGATTACTAGACAACTGCAACTACATTCTACAGTGTTATTGCTAGGTGCAGCCTAATTTACAGCACTGCTTTTCTTTCTGTCTTGCCAAAATACATCACAATTTTGATGTTAACTCAAAGTAAAAATTCAGTGGTTCATTAAATCTGTTTTTAGCATTCACTGGGAAGACATTTGTTGCTATTAAAGATTGCATAAAAACAGCAGCTACTTACTGCTCAGTTTGTAACCTTAGATCCCCTGATTGCCTGTCAAAAACAACATGGAGTTAATTCCTTTGCATATTATAATGAATATTCATCGATATGTTGATGTGACATAGAGTCCCATTTCCTGTCTTCCTGGCCCTGTGACTTTTCCAAGTCTTTGCAGCCCTTTTTAAATCTGAAATCACTGACAAGTTGAAGTGGCTTAAAATGCCAGTAGATACAGTCAATAAGAAATAAGGTGGATACAGTTACGGAGTGCCCTTAAGGTTTCAAATATAGGTAGCTGACTTGAGATAAATGCAGTGCACGACAGTATTGTGGGTTCTTGGCTTACTAGACTGGAACTTTTTCAGAAATAGTATGTCCAGTGTTTCAGTGTTTTGTGGGTAGTGTATTATTGTTATGCTAATTCCTTGCAAATTCTGGCATCTGGCCTGCTATTAAATAAATTCAAGATGAAGGAGAGATAGGAACATAATTGAAACAAACATTTCTTACCTCGTTTTTTTTAGTCCAGCACCTCAATGATGCCTTTTTTTGTGAAGTGTCAGAAAGCTTCCTGGGTTTGGAATAGAAAGTGTTCTAGTTTTGGATAATGAGGTCAAGAACTTGTACATGTGGGGATTTTTTTAAAGTTTTGGGGTTTTTTTTCTCCAAATCTCTTAATAAGAAAGCTTGCATGTGACTCCTCTTTAGAGAGAAGGTTTTAGATTTATGCAGTTACAGATAAATTGGTGAGATGACATGTTCAGTTTCAAGACTGATACTTTGAGAATATTAAAATAAATGCTGTATCCTGCATTTAAATGCAGTAGTATCAGCTGGCTGTATGCAGTGAAAGTACTGTGAAGGAATTTAGAGCTCTGTATAATATATGCCATTTATGTTTCAAACATTAAAAGGCAGGAGCAATCAGCTATATGATCTTTTGAATAAAATATGTAGATTAGAAGGTCATATAGCACTAAGGGGTTGACCATCTACATTTGACAAGAATTTGACTCCTGTCACTGAAAATGGTACTTAGAATCAGTGTAGTATGACTAATGGGGGGTTGGGCTGAAATTTCTAATTTGGGACTTTCAAAGCTAGAATAATGTATACAGGGTGACCCAAAACCAAATTTCTAAATTTGAAGGCATCATTTAATTCTGCAAGATTGATCGGCAGGGTGAAAAAGAGGGGGATTTTTATCCAGGTGGCCATAATTTGAATACATGATCCTGTGTGTGTTGTTCTCAAAAGTCATGTGCATTAACTCATATTGCATTTTTTAATTAATCATCGTTCACACCTGTAGTTATTTGACATTAAGAATTCCCTTCTTTAAAATGGCCACAAGTTTTCAGGTTATGAGTCCACTGTGCATGCGAATCCATCGAAAAAGGAGCAGTGTCTTTCTGTTTCTTTGCGTGATTATTTTGCCCAAAAAAGCTTTCATTTTTTTTTAAGTAGCACAAAAGCTGTAATTGGCATGCTTTGTAAGGAAGTGTCAATGTGCAAGAGAGTGGAGATCACTAAGAATTCTTTTACGGGTTCTTTCCCCTTTGCACCACCACCTCCTCAGCAGGGTCACTGAGATCACTAGCTTTTCTTGAAATGGCCATTTTCACTGGCAGGTGCATTATACCCTGTATTTTCAGATTGTTTTTCCATTCTGAATGTTTGGCAGGTTGATTGCTCTGGCTGCATTGACGGAGAAAGGGCTGACAAATGCGGTTGGGCTGGCTGAAAAGACAGTGATTACTGTTTTCCTTTGTGGCTGATTGAGGCCCTTGAAAGGAAAGATTTTAACCTTCACCATTTGGTTCAAAAGTATGAGCATATATTGAAATCATTCATGCCATTTATCCTAGTTCTGTAAACTTGTCAGAACATAAAAATCGCTCAATTTCAAGTAATGTAGGATTGGCATACGTCATTATCATTTTGATTAAGTTGGAGTTTGTATTATTGTGTGCATTATACAGTGTCATTTAAAGCTTTCTTTCCTGCAGGTACAGTTATATTTTTATTGCCTATACTATGGAGTTAGAAAGATTTTCAGACCTCTTTAAACCTATCACTATGTGTGTGGTTTGGCAGCTGGTATGGCCTACAAGCTGTATTTTGTTTGCAGGGTAAAGGCTTGTCTGTAGACCTCCTGGAGTGCTGGTAATTGCACAGGCTTGCCATTGGGGAAAGACATGATTGGAAGCAGTCAGGCAGAAAAATGTTGTGCCATCCCATTGCCACCTCATAGCAGAGAGACAATCCTTGCAGTACCATCTGGTTGTTGCTATCTAGTCAGCTGGCCTGACTGCTGGGACCATGGCTTGGCAGCTGGTTCCCATCCCTTGACCACCCCTTTTTTTTTTTTACTCTTTTTGTGTGCATGCATGTGGGTTTTGGTTTTTCTTTACTTTTTGTGTTAGATAACTTTGAACATGGGTCAGGAAGATGGCTGCAACAAACAAGCCTAGTCCCTGTTGAATACTGTCTCATTACTTGTGATGAGGCATGCAGCAGTTTCCTGCTGCCATTCCCTTATAAGCAGATGACGTAGCTGTTTAACCAACAAAAACAAGTCTTTTCAGAAGCTTATTCTAGAAAGTGAATGAAGAAAAGCCAGCATATCTCACAATTCTAAGTTATTTAAAGGTATTTTCTGTTTTACAGTATTCAAATAATAAAATGTAGAAATGCAGAAAGTGATGTAAGCCTTGTCAGTATTCCAGAACATTAACATTTTATGTTATTCATTGCAATTAGGAAAAACACATTTTCCTGTAAAGTTTTCATTTCCAAACATGATACAGATAATGAGACTAGCATCTAGAATGACAGAAAAAATGTAATCTCTCTGCTATTATCTTTAGCAAAATTTGCTTCTCAGAATAGCAACCTGAAAGCTAATGTGAGCCATCTTCATGCCATGTGCAGACCCATTAGACTGATGCTTTCAGATCATAAGTAAGCAGCTGCTCTGTAGACTATTTTAGACATTTGATTTTTTGTTATTCCGCAGCATTAATGTGTCAGTGTGTTACACAGAACGTGCATCCACCGCATGGTTCTGTGTGGAATCGTAAATGCCTGTACGACAGATTTCCACTTTGGATTCTTTACAATTTCCTGCTTTCTTATTTCAGTTTATCAACTACATAACGCAGTGCAACTGATACCCAGGTGGAGACAGTGTTCTAATGACATTTTGGTTTGTGTTAATGTTATCCTTGGGACTGTGTTTTACAAATGCAACCATTTTAAGCTACATGATACCATTTTACATCAGCTTATTTGAGATTCATATAGAATGTTCCCCTTTAGAAACACTGATGGTCTCACCATAATGTTTCTCCTTAGATGAGGAGGAGGAAGATGATGTGGTTGCACCAAAACCATTGGTTGAACCTGAAGAAGAAAAAACATTAAAAAAAGAGGAGGAGGAAGAAGGTACAGTTCATCTCAAGATATTCTGAGTGCTGTAAAGAAAGTCAACAATACATTTTAAAACTTTTTGTTCTATTAATTTAAAATTAATTTTGTTGTTAAATGTTAGTCAGCAAAACATAAAATGCAAGAATTATTAATAATCATGATAAATACTGGTTTTCTTTCTTGAAAATAATTGGTGAAAGTGTGCAGTCCAGAAAATGTCTGTATAATTTTTTTCAGCTGCCCCTCATGAACTCACAGAGGAGGAAAAGCAACAAATTTTGCATTCTGAAGAATTTTTAAGTTTTTTTGACCACTCCACAAGGATTGTTGAAAGAGCCCTTTCTGAGCAAATCAACATTTTCTTTGACTACAGTGGAAGAGACTTAGAAGACAAAGAAGGGTAATGTGAATGTTAAATACTCTTCTGTGATTTTCCAATACTTTTCATGGAAAAAGTGATCTAAGATTAGTATCTCCTATTTATCTTTATAGAGAGATTCAAGCGGGAGCAAAACTGTCCTTAAACAGGCAGTTTTTTGATGAACGTTGGTCAAAGCATCGTGTTGTCAGTTGTCTGGATTGGTCATCTCAGGTAAAAAATAATGCTTAAAGTAAACAGTTGACTTTGTAAATTGTTGTGGTTCTGTGCATTTAATTCCCATAAAAGCAGAGTTGATACAGTTTGTATTTCTAAATGTGTTCCTTAGGTGCTCCATGGTTTGCAAAAAGTAGAGCTGTTAATCTTTTGTGAAAGGTAGCAAAAGGTTCATATTGTGAAGAAAGTTGTTTTTGGTTTATGGACTGCTTTGTAGAGGTAACTCAGCTTCACTAAAAAGAAAGTTCACTTAAAAGTAATGGATTTTAGAGTTAAAGTTATGATGAGAGAACAAGACTAATGTGTATGTTAATGCTGGTTTCTGAGCTAAATTAGCAACAATTGCAGTTTTAACTGACAATTTTTCACACCTTTATAATGCAAGGTGGTTTTTTAACCCTATTTTGGCAAAAGAAAACAAAGATTCTAGAATTATCTCGACCATCAGCCAGTCATCTTGCTTACTTTGAGTCTTTTTCACTTTCCATCCAGTATCCAGAATTACTTGTAGCCTCTTACAACAACAATGAGGATGCGCCTCACGAGCCTGACGGGGTGGCCCTTGTATGGAATATGAAGTACAAGAAAACTACCCCAGAGTATGTCTTTCACTGCCAGGTATGATTTTGTCTTGGGAGGGATTTTATGTCGATGAAGTTGGAAAAGTACCTTCCTTGTGTTTGTCAATATAATAATTTCATTGGGCTGCCATTCGCTTTAACCACGTTTATTTGCCAACATATGTTAATAGCTAGAGACTTCTGCTGAGAAATATTCTGCTCCAGAATTTCTGACATCATTCAGAATTGAGTCTTGTTTGAGAATTCCTTTTCTTTTTTTGTTTAAAAAACAGGAAAACTTTCTTGTGTAATGGTTGAACCACAAAGGTTTGTATTTAAGGGGCTTGAGTGGGATTGTATACTACAGCTTAGTTTACTGCATAAAATGAAAACAGCCTGAGGAAAGACATGGAACAGGGATGAAAACTAGAAACATATGTATCAAGAAAAAGGCAGATGGAGGTTTTCTAGTAGTTTTCTGAAAGATAAAAACATGCAAATCTCTTCCATTATGCCAAGCCCAAGATATCCACGATTTTCCTATCATTTTGGAAAATTACACAGTTGACTCAAAATTTAACCTCATTGTTACATTACTGTCAAAGCCCAGATTGCAAAAGTAACTCTGTTATATCAAAATTTATTTCTACATTCTCTAAGAAGTAATGACTATAGAATGTGGCAAAACATTATTAAAATCTTGTGTGTTACTTCCTTTGTTAATAAACTATGCTAGGAGGAATACAGATGTGTGCATGTGAAAGAAAAGAGGAGGAAAACTTCATTTTATAATTATAAATTGAAATAAAAAGACTGTTGAGGGGTTACAAAGGGTGGGCAAATCCTTAAGTAAAAAGGATGTGAAATAACATACTGAATAATTTTAGGCAAAGAAGTTATTCTGCTATTTGGCCTCATTTCCTTTAGTTTTAGACATAGTGTCACTGAATGATAGTTCATATATTTTGTTGTTCTTTTTTCTTCCTTTCAGTCTGCAGTGATGTCAGCTACATTTGCAAAATTTCATCCCAATCTGGTGGTTGGTGGCACATACTCGGGCCAGATAGTGCTGTGGGATAATCGCAGCAATAAGAGAACCCCAGTGCAGAGAACGCCACTTTCAGCTGCTGCTCACACGGTAGGAGTCTTCAAGGAAATGTCTTCAAGGACTGTGCCCTGTTGAGATATGTTTAATGTCTAGGAAATTCTGTCCAGTGCACTTGATTGGCAATGCTTAAATGTTTGTGTCCATATTTTGACATGTAGGAACCAGGCTATTCATAAAAATCAGAGTGTCAGAAAAAACAAGTATCAGTTCTATCAGGGGAGTATCATTTGTACTTTTGATTGGGATCAATCTTTTGTGCTTTGTTAAATGGTGAAATTGTGTATTTTACTTTACAATAATTATAACAGAACTGGTTATTACTTCTAAATTCTTTTCTGGTAATATTTTGTTTCTTAGCACCCAGTGTACTGTGTAAATGTTGTTGGGACCCAGAATGCTCATAATTTGATTAGTATCTCAACTGATGGGAAAATATGCTCTTGGAGTTTGGATATGCTTTCCCAACCACAGGTAAGAAAACTTTTGATAAATATACATACATATATATGTAGTGTCTATTCTAGATTAATGTTTTATTAAAAATTCAGTTGATCTAATAAACATTAATCAACATTTTCCCAACATAGGTAGCTTGATATTTGATAAAATATTTCCCCACCTATGGAATCAAGTATTTTCTGTTGTTTCTTTTGTATAGTTTTGTTGTACTTGTACTTGTGTTAGTGGTGAGCACAAATGTAGTAAGAAACCTTCCTTATTCCTGCCCAATCTATCCAAGTAAAATTAAAAAAAAAGCCTTCTATTGTGAAATCTAAAAGATTTTTTAGGTGTTAATATTTCTTTAAACTTCTTCTACTTCTGCTTAAAGTAAGTTACTGGTATTTTCACTACAGGATAGCATGGAGCTGGTTCACAAACAGTCCAAGGCTGTGGCTGTTACCTGCATGTCTTTCCCTATTGGAGATGTCAACAACTTTGTTGTTGGCAGTGAAGAAGGCTCAGTGTACACTGCATGCCGTCATGGCAGGTGAATACAAACTTTAATTCTTCAAAGAAAATAAAAATAGTTGAAAGGATTAGTTCCTGCATGCTTTACACTTTAAATTTTTTAAGTTCATGCTTTCTCCTTTGCACTGAAGGAGTTTAGAGTATCTCTGTCTGAATTCCAGTGCACTTTTTCCTGAGTAAGAGCTTCATTAAAACCAGAAATGGTTGGAATATTGAACTGGTGTTATGAGTTGTTTGTTTTGATGAGGACAGCATAGGTCACTGTGGTTTTATTAATTTGAATTGTAGCAGAACATTCCAAACTTCTTACCAGTTTTGTAGATAATTGTACAGTAACATCACGCACAAATCTTAAATTGGCTAGCTGTTCTCCTGCTGTTCAATCTGTTTTGAAATTGTCTGACTGTATCTTATCAATTGCTTTCTTAAATACAATTGAGTGTCCAGGTTTCATCTCAAATACACATCACCTTGCTGCACAGCTTTTTTTGGTTCCAAAATAACCAAAATTGTATCACTTTTGTGTAACATCCTTCCCATCTGTTTCCCTGCTTTTTCATCACCCCTGATAGGAGGCTATTAGGGATATATTGTTATTGGTTTATGTCTGAACCTTGAGCTCTTAAAGTATATGCAACTTCTCTTAATTTAATGGGAGTTCAATGCTTCTTTGTGAGACTGGATTTTATTCTTTATATGAATTGAAGTTGTAGCCACTGCTTGAAGGACAGCATAGTGGACTGATAAATGTGTGGACTGGTACCCGAATGAGTCTCCTGTCCTTAGGATATATTTTGGTACTTACAGTTAGCGAAAATACATGTTGAACTTAAGTGTTTTCAAGCCTGGTCTTCTGTGATCCTGCCATGGTGAAGCCTTTTGCAGTGAGGTAACATACATATAAGGCAGCAAAATCTTGTGGCTGTATTTAAATTGCATTTCAGTGCTATCTCTGTCTGCAGATGTTTGGTTTCCAAATCAATTAACCTTGGTTGTATATTCTGAAACAGCAAAGCTGGAATCAGTGAGATGTTTGAAGGACACCAGGGACCAATCACAGGTATCAACTGCCATGCAGCAGTTGGACCTGTAGACTTCTCACATCTTTTTGTCACCTCTTCTTTTGACTGGACAGTAAAGCTTTGGACAACGAAGGTAACATAGATAGTTCAGTGGTTTTCTTCATAGCCCTTGACACAAGGTGGTGCTATAATGTAACTACTTAAGGAAGTTCACGAACCTGAAGTCATTTTGGGTGAAGTTCTGAGGTTCTTAGCTGCAGTCCTGCAAAGAGGAGACAGCTGATGAGCAGAACTAAGATTAACAGCATAAAACTTCGTTTTCAGCTTGTACATCATTTGTGTATTTCTGATCCATTCTTTTCAAACTTTTGCCCTTTGTTATCAACAATGTAATTACAATGTAATCAAATGTAAATCATGTTATAAAGTCAATTACCTTATATATTCATAAGGTAAATGTTTTGCTACAATTTTCTGGAGGAATAAGGGACAGCACCAAAACTAATGACAATTAAACTTGGTGAGACTCACAATTGAAATATCTGTCATTTCCATTGCCAAAATTGCTTCTTTCTCTGTTAGTCTAATGCCCTGAGGAATGCAAAGCAGAGGAAGCAGAGTTAAAATCTCTCAGTAATAGTCACTGAATTATTATTGACTTTATTTGCAAGATTCTTAAAACATTAAATTTACAAGACACAATTGGCTTGCTATTGATTGTTTTATAGTAGCAGCCAGCAAAATTTTCCAAAGCTGCATGCTTTGGAAAGCATACCTTTAATAATAAAAAGCATTAGGTTGTAGCTGATTTTTGCAGTGGCATTTTTTTAAAGCAAGTCAAAATGCAAATCACTTTTTACTTATTGCTGGTAATAATGTTGAAGTTCTGTATTTTGCTTTACCTGTTAGTTTTATAATTTTGAAATGTAGGGTTTGGGTATTTCATTGTTATCTTTGCTTCTTTTCAGAATAACAAACCTCTCTACTCCTTTGAAGACAATTCAGATTATGTTTATGATGTGATGTGGTCTCCAACTCACCCTGCCTTATTTGCCTGTGTGGATGGTATGGGCAGGCTTGACTTGTGGAATCTCAACAATGATACTGAGGTGAGAAGTCAGGTCAAATGCAGCTGGAAAATTGTTTGTACTCTTAAAAAAAAAAAAAGTTGGGTGTTTATCATAATTTGTGGGGTTTTTTTACCATAGCTTGTTTTTTTTGTTTTTAAAATATTCTGTAGTTCCAGTAGTTTCTGTGTAGTAGATAGCATTCTTTGATTACAGGGTTACAAATGACTCCTCTTAATGAATAACAGCAGTAATAAAATTGTTTTACCTTTAGCAAGAGAGCAAAACATCTGTTGATGTAACACTGATCCATGTTCTGAAAGTGACTATAGACCTCCCACCCTGAGGCCTTGTCAGCCTACAGCTTAACAGTGTGAACAAACCTGTTACCACCCACCACTGCTGTTCCTATTGCCACAGTAATACTGCAGTGAAAGTGCCCTTTGTTTCTGACTTAGTGAATTGAATATTTGTTTTTCTGGTGTGGGTTATAAACATCATTATAGTAGAAACCTTTTCCAAGATTTGCTGGAGGTAGAGAAGAAACCTGACAGATACTTAGTACTTGTATTTCACCATCTGAAAACTACATGTAGAAGAAAGTTATAGGACCATATGCCAGCCTGTGGCTTTAAATTGGAATTACCTATTCTAGCCCTTTGGATAGGGCTTGACCTGCCAAAACAGCTGATTTCATCCCTGCCCTCTGTCATAATCTTCCTGAGTTCCCAGGGTGCCTCATCACTGCCTGAAAACATATCTGTGCCTCCTGTCCCACAAGAAGAGTGCAGATGTGTCTTTTGATAACAGATGTTTGTACTTTGGCCAAGGGACAGATGTGTTGTTTTGGTCATGTCAATGGTGATATAGCTTAAGGCCGCTGAGCTCTTTGTATTGTGAGCAGTGTCTTTGATCTGCATACCATGCACCAGTTGAAGTGTTGGACATTTCTTTTGATGCAGCACAGACAGCCTAGGTGTGTTCTGTTATCACTACCATATGGATACCTCATGCATTTTTAGCAATGTGTTTCCAAATGGTGCAGGTGCCCACAGCAAGCATCACCGTGGAGGGCAATCCTGCTCTGAACCGTGTGAGATGGACGCATTCGGGGAGAGAGATTGCTGTAGGTGATTCAGAGGGACAAATAGTTATATATGACGTGGGAGAGGTACGTATGTCATGCATTGTGCAAAAAATTTGGTTTCTTTATTTAGCAATTGCCTTTCATTTTTTTTTCTCCTGTCATTAGAGGAAGAATAATTAGGTTTAATTTGTATTTTTGAATTAACATTTCCTAGTAGTGTTTTATTTAAGGTGTTCTAGGATAACTTTTTAGCATGCTGTCATCCAGTCAAAAAGCTTTACTGTAAGGCTGGTGAAATAAGAATCAATGCTCTTTTAATAGAAATGTTGTCTTCTACGTAACTGTGGCACATATGAATTCTGATCCTAGCTTGAGAAGTACCAAACAAAAAATTTGCCGTAGAGCAGCCTCGATTTTGTTCAGGGAAAGTAGTTGCTCTTTCAAGTATGTGTACTGCAGTAGTACATGACTAATTGATGGGATGAGGATATGGCATTAGTATTCCCTTTGAAGACAGTTTCTCAGGTGGAGATACATAGCACAAGCTTATGATAATATCATTTTATATGTTAGTGCAGGAGTCTCAAGTTCTGTTTCTTTATTAGTTAGAGCTTTTGATGCTTACACTAAAATAAAGGTAAGCTTATCTGGATCAGGAACCTCTTCTGAGCATTATTTAAGTGCTGTGCCGTTCAGAATGAGCTGGGCTTTATTTACCAGGAGGTCTCAGTAACGCTCTCTGTGCACAGCAAATCGCCGTGCCTCGCGGGGACGAGTGGGCTCGCTTCGGCCGAACGCTGGCGGAGATCAACGCCAACAGAGCCGACGCAGAGGAGGAGGCTGCGACCCGCATCCCGGCATAGAGCTCCAGCCAGCCCCAGGGCCACGCTGCCAGGGACTGGATGCAAATCCTCCAGTGTCAGTTCTAACCACAGAGCAGGGGAGGAATATATGGATTCAGCAATGGACTTTGAAATATATTAAGATCACTGAAAATCAGATCTTGCTTTGTTTTGTTTTATATATAAATTACAAGCACATTCTTGGATTTGTGTAACTTTTAATACGGTTAACTTTGACTTTGCAGGGATCTTCTTTTGCTGAAACACTAACCTGGTATAAATTTGCTACTTGGCTTCTGTAAAGTTCAATCTGAAACAGTATCTTTCTGAAAAGTAAAAGCTCTACTCCTAAAACTTTCTGTATTACAGACTAACCTTCATTAGGTAGTAAATCTCTGAAGTATTCTTTACTTTGAACTTTTCAAATTACCAGTGATATGCATGCATATGTTCCAAGTTTCATTGTTTATATATAGATAAGCCTCAGACTCTGGTAGTGGGTAATATATGTGAATAAAAAATTGTCTGTAGTTACAAATTTATGTGATAATCAGACCTGAATTAATGAAATACATATTTAATACTAATTTCCTTTTGTTTGAATTGGTGCATTAAAAGGTGAGACTGATTCATAAATAAATACTATACAAGCACTTGTCAGCTGCCCTGACCTCTAATCTGTATCCCTGCAGTAGTTTAAAGTTTCTGGGAGCTGATCCTTTTGTTTTACTACACACATCACAGAGTTGTTTTCTACCCTCAACCACCCCTTACTGCAATGGCAATTAGCCAGTAGCAAAAAGGCTCCTGTTAGCAAATTTTTATTTTGCAAAGGATAAGGGACGAGAGTTTAACTTAATTTCTATAGCATTATGATTTTCATTCTGTTAACTACAGACTTGCTACTGATTTTCTGTACTAAGTTCAAGATTTTTATTATTACTGGTTTTTAACATTTATATTGAAACAAGACTTCTTAATGGCTTGAAACAGAATGGTTGTAATTTCTGTTAAAGGTTACTTCTTTTTCTTTCTTAGCACATTATGAAGTTTTCTATCAGGATGGGTTGCAGAGGAGCTCTTTTTTGGGGCTGTTGTTTGGGTTTTTTTTTAAATAAATACCATGAGTTTTACTCATTAGGCACTAAATCAGTTTTGTAGCCTTTGCCTTAGGACTGTAAATTAGTTTTTAATCTGTTACAAGCTTATTATTTTGCCAGAAGAGCTGGTTGTATATGCTTAAAAATAGGAAATAGGGTTATATTCCTCAATCACTTTCATGTCCAGGAGTGTCGTCATTGTTTCTTCGTTGTTTAACTTTTCTGTTTAGTTTTGGGTTTTTCTCCTTCTCTTAATTCAGTTATTATGAACAGCTTGTGGAGACACAGCAGTTAACAGCTTCTGTCTTCAGAAAGTTTTGTTTTTTGGTGGGTCTGGAACTGAAATGTGCTTAGGCTTCTATTGGCGTTAGCATTTCAGGAGTGTGTGCCCCTCCCTCATCAACACAGCCATGCTGCTCAGGTTGCAGACATTGATCCTGTGTGTTCTCCTCAGCCCTACAACAGCAGCTCTGTTCAGCTGAGAGCTATGTGAACTGTGTAAGAACAGGCACATCATGAGATGGTTTGTACCTTTGGGCAGATGAATTCTTAACAAGCAGAAGTTCTCTTGGTTTGATGGTTTTGAGGGGAGGGGGTGCTTGGGTTTTTGGTTGGTTGTTCTTGTGGGACTTTTGGAAATTATTTTTCATTTAATAACACATTTCCCTCACTCCGATTTTCAAAAGAGCAATAGGTAATGCTTTCTTTCGCATACACATAGATCATATGGCATTAATTTTGTGTAGTTTCAACTTTCTAATAATTCTCAGTTATTAAATTTAACACTTTCTTTATTCCTGCTTGTGGTCCTCCCTCACAGAATAGCTGAGCAGAGATTAAAAATGCAAAAGCCATACCTGCAACGTTAAGACCAAAAGTGATGCTAGGTGCTGTGAATGAGGATTCTGGGAGTCAAACGGTCCAGTTTTGGAGCTGCAAGAAATACAAATGCTGTTGTGCATTGACAGGTCTCCTAAGGCCTTGATCAAGGCAGCCGACAAGCTGTGACTAAGATTAAATGCAGTGGGTCTGCACCACTTTTGTCTCTACTTAGAAAAGCCAAGACAAAATTCATAGATACAGGAGAGAGTTCCCAGAAGCCTGTCTCTATCCATAACACAGTACAGAACAAGAAATTCTTTAAACACAATGCAACAATTAAAGAAGGAAGCCTTCTAAACGGGGTTATCTATATAGTATTGCAGAATAGTGATCAAACTTCTAAGGCCAGTGTATTATAATCTCTGGCTCACTAAATATTATTCAGCACCAAAATAATTTTTTTGTCTTCCTTAGAGGCTAGAGCTGGAGAAAGGCTAGTCTGTGTAGTGTTCAGTTCTTGAGAAGCCATTTCTTCATAAATTGACTTAATCCCTGATGGGCCTGCTGTCACCTAGGTAAGAAAACAGAACTTGAAATCAGTTTACACCCTTTGGATTAGCTCCATTCCAGGATGTTTAGCCCTGTAAGAAACACGTAAAACTTCGGTAATCAAGGCTGGAAACCACCCATCTCATATCTGGCTGCAAGGATGGTGTGACTAATTTTCCTCCATGACAGCAGAAATCTCAACTCCCCTATTTCCTCTGACACTTTTGCATTTAAGTATTATACCAGAGAAACTTCTGGCAGATACTAAGCCAGAAATAGTTCAACTTTTCACTTTCTCTTCTCCTTTTACTTCCACTTACCTGTAAATATAAAAAACTAGTTTTGCATATAAAAATAATAAAAAAGTAAGTAGGTTCTCCCCCTACAGAATAACCTAACCTCATGGTAAAACAATCTATAAATAAAGAGCATGCTTTCAATTTTTTGTAACAAGTTTTCCACTCGGGAAAAGAAGGCACTCTGAGTAATAAACCCTGTAAAAATTCTTGAGTGTGCTAGTAACTGGCAAATCTCTCATTGTATTTTGAATGCTACAATAGAAGTAATAACTATTAACACATTTAGTAATGCCATGTATTTTGAGAGAATTCCTTGTCACAACATAGTGCTGCAAAATAAAATATTGCATGTGCTCATCTAATTACTGTGTTCTCTAACACTTGCAAGCCAGCACATTGCATTTTAATTCCTTTGCTGTAACTAACAGTGAAGGGCATTCCTGCAGAGCTCTGTCCTGTCCATTCATTAAACAGGTGCATCTGATCTTCACATTTCTTCTGTGGAGGGAGAAACAATCATACCAGACAACTTCCTATAAATTCAAAGAAGCGAACTGACACAAGCATTTTTAAACATTTTATTGTCACGATTGTTAACAAAACACCTTCAAAATGTCTGTACATTTCAAACTATTTTGAACTGCAATACCCATTATATAAATGTACGTGTATATATGCCCTGATGTCTCTGTACAAAGATGTACAATATGTACAGTAACATTAAATGCAAACTGTGCAAGGCAAAGTCTAGGCTACAGCTTCATGCCACTGGTTAAAACAAGGCAGAGAACCACAGCTTCAATCAGTTCCTTGTGTGTAAATAAATAAATGCAGGTACGTATGAATATTTGAAAGGAGCAATTAGATTTGCAAGCTCAGTTCAGCTAGAACACATGCAGCTGACTGGAAAAAAATACAGCAGTACTCTTGTGAATTCTTTCCACTGCATCACTTTGTTCATTTGAAACATCTTTTCAGGACTCAGCTGCTACTGTGTGCTTAAGCTGAGGTGGTGGCAGGAGCTCGAAACTTTGGAAGATATAAACCAAATTTATTTTCTATACCAGCAAACGTAGCTGTAGCAAGTCTGTATCCTCCTATATGTGCAGGGTTAACAGGAGGAAGATCTGAAATTCGTGTTTTTGGGGTAGATTCTGATCCAGCGGGTTTGCTGTTTGAACAAAGAAAAAAGGTAATTTTGTTAGTCTAGATTTCATAAGAAAGAACTTTAAATAGACTTAAATCTTTTGTCTGAATATGGAAGACTGTTAGAGTTGATCTAGATTAATTGACTCCTATGGTGAAGTGAATGGGGTCAGACGACTACTTAACTTTATATTAAATGCAAAACTGAAGTTAAATTTTTATGGATACTTTCATAAATTCTTTTAGCTTCCCATGTCACAAGGAAACTGGACAAAACTATCTTGCTACAATGGAAATACAAATTAGTGTACTGAAATAAGCATGAAATGGCTATTTATCGCCTCATCTGTTTAGAATTGTCATGCAAGTTTTTCTCAATTATATGAGGATAGAGCAAATTTTTACCTGCTGCAATTTTAAGTACAGGTGCTCAAAGTCAGTAAGTTTTAATGGGTTCTGTGCATGAAAAAGTTTGATTTTTCTCTTTAAATCTGGCAGTTGTTTTGTGCAAGCTAAATAACAAATACTTGACTTACAGGCCTCCAAAATCAACATACAACCATCTCTGCAGAAGTTCATAAGTGACCAAAGTAACACCAAACTGGGGTGAAGATCTGAACACACGAGCTGTTAAATATTACAAATCATAGTGTTAAACAAATAAAATAATTCCTCAGGAGATGAGCTAAACATTTTTAACAAGGTGTTATGTTTTTCACAATCAGACCTTCTAAATACTGCTCTGATTTGATTCCTTAACAAAGCAAGTGCTAATTTGCAGATTTGGGGTCAGCCTTAATTTTTTTTCTCACCTCCAGCTCCCTTCCACAAAGCTGAAGGGCCTTCTTCCTTTAGAATCTTTCTGAAGCAGTCAATAACTCCACTGTATGTTGTCTGACCAGCGCGAGCTGCCACTTGCAGTCTTGTCTTGATGACATCAGCAGGGGTTACCAAAGAAGCAGCAGGCACACCTTTTAGAAGAAAACCACATTTAATTTGCACAAAGGATCTTGTAAAAGATGAAACACTTACAAGTGAAAAACACAAGTGGAAACTTTCGTATTTTTTACGAGGGCTAGACATTACAAAAAAATGCAGGTTCTTACTCTTGAAGCTCATATAAACTGTCGTACCTGAGATAATAATTCTGACTTTCTTCCAGATTTAAAGGCTGAAACTGGTAGTAAAGGAAATAAACTATCAAAACCCATTCTCAGCATCTTCTAGTGGTCTGTCTACCTGTAGCAGTAGTTTGAAACAAGATAAAATTGGCTATACATACGTAATATATAAAAATTAGTTGTGCAAATTTACTGTATTTGTTTATTCTCTACAATGTATTTTGCAAATTATGTAGATGATTGATTTAGAAATTGAATCCTATACCTCCATTTGTTAAAGGTGTTGATGAGAAAAACTACTGCTTAAAGCCGCTATTCTATAGAAATGTGTCAACACTGCTGTTTGGACTGTTCTATAGGAGAATAGACGCTGCTTACTTCAGTAGGCAAGCCATAAAAAGACTGAGGACAATGAAGGTGTTTTACAAGTACCAACAGCTTAGTACCAACAGCGTGGTATTAGCCAACAGTGATGGAAGAACAAATCTGCAGTTCCAAGGCACCACTCTCGGCTTTCTAGTCAAAGGAAAGGAGAAAGTTTTCAGAAATGTACTTCACAGTATATAACTGTGTTATCTGAGATATTTCTGAATACTTCTAAGTACTATAAAAATTT